GTACTGCATGATGAACACGGAGATGTCAATCACGATCTTGACCGACGCCTCGTCGAGCCCCTTGTGGAGCGGGCACTTGAGCGGGCTGTCGGAGTAGGTGGTCAGGACGTCGGCGGCCGTCATGCCCGGCGTGGGGTTGATCTTCTCCTCCTTGGTGCGCTCCTCGATGTTGAAGTGCTTGGTCGCGTACTCGGCGAGCGGGTAGCGCTTGACGTTGCTCGACGGCGCGTAGACGGTGCGGGTGTCGGTGTCGGCCAGGCCGCCGCTCGAGTTCAACTGCTGATAGTAGGCCCGGCTGTTCATGCGCGCCACTCCCTTCATCTCCGTGGGCTTGGCCACACCGCCTGTACACATCACACAGCACGACACGACACGACACGACACGACACGACACGACACGCAACATGACACGGCCACGTCAGCATCGTTGATCGTCACCATCGCGGCGTGGCTTGTTGGCTCAGATCGGCCAGACGCACCGCTTTGTTCGCTTTCGTCGCTGCTGGCCAGTCCTCCGTTCTACATTGGGTGAGTCAACACGTGTTAAGTGTGTGTAGTATGTGTGTGTGTGTGTGTGTGTGCGGTGCAGCACCATGAGCCGCTGTTTCAGGGATGGCGCGCGCGGCGACTCGGCGTAGTCCTTGCCGGTGCTGCCCGGTTTGAGAATGAGGACCTCCACGTTGTCCTTGGGGAACTGGCCGACCTTGTCTGTGCTCGCAGCACCGCGAGAGCGAAAGAAACACACAATTAAAGTGTGGTAGGGGTGTGTGTGTGTGTGTGTATGCGTGTGTGGTGTGTGTGTGTGTGTCAGTGACGCTGATGAGCCACATGATGTCTACCGACGGCTTACCTTCGATTTTGCCCTTCCACCATCCGGAGGCATCCCTGGAAATGATGGTGACGATCTCGCCCTTGTGGAACGAAAGAAGGCTCCGGTCCCTCCGGCAGATAGTCCACCACAGCCCGCGCCACCCTGTGAACAACAAACGTCGTTCGTCCAGAAAGAGCAGTGAGCCTAGCTTCGTCAACCAACCCACACCGCGGACCCAAGCAAACTACGTACCAAGAATCCTCTCGCAGCCAGAACATGTAGTCTTCCATGATGCTGGCCATTTCGACTCCCTGAAAGCGTGCAACAGCACACGGGAGCGCGCGGTGAACAAGGGGTTCTATAACATTGGGCGTCCCAGGCCTTGGCGACGCGCGCGCGCGGGGAGGGGTACCTCCAGGGTGAGGAATTTGATCGCCCCCGTTTCGGCCGTGGTGGTGAGGGTGCAGGAATTGACGGGTGAAGCTGATCTCGTACACGTCCCAGTAGGGAACGCGCCGCAGTTTTTGCCTAAGAGGCTGCACGGGTAGTGAGTGGTGAGCTCTGTCAATATCGCACGCACGTGTTTCGTGTGTGTGTGTGTGTGTGTGGCTAAATTACTGGGAGACGGGATCGTAGATTGACAGCCCGGGGATGCCGATGCCCACTACGCACTCGTCGGGTAAGTCCAGATCCGACGTCTCCAGCTTCACCGAGCGGAACACGCTCTGCACGCACGCACGACACGGCATGACACAAGGTTGTGTGAGTTGAGTGACTTGCGCGTGGGGGGGGGCAAAGAGGAATCAGCCAAGAGAGCAGCAGATGCTCTTTTGGGGGGGGGGTATTGTCGAACCAGTCGTAGAAGGGCAGCTCTTTCGCCAGTTTCAGATACTGGGATGAGAATGTTGTTGTCATCGTCCTTGATTGTTTGAGACACGCAACGTCAGTAAGCTTGATTGAGCAAACACCAGAACACACAGAACACACGACACACACGACACACACACGACACACGACACACGACACACACACACACACACGACATCTCTGCTCGTCGAATAGCAGGTGGGTACCATCTTCATCCTCTTGATCTTTGCTACTTCGGTTTCGATGAGGATGCCCCACTCACCGGCAGACTTGGTGGCCATATGTGCCGGAGGCACCAGCGAAGGCACACTGCATCCGACCGGGCGAAGAAAAGAAGTTCAGCATCCACAACCCACACCAGCCCACACACCGGACAAACAGAAAATGATGGTCGCGCGGCCAGTGACGCGTCCAAGGGGCAAGGGCCGTACATGCTGCCCGGGTTGGTTGCGAGGGTCTG